TTCGAAGAGCTTTAATGGTCTACAAAATTAGGTAAATAATAATGTAAATCTTCATTGATGTTACTAATGTTACCAAAAGAATCACACAGTCAGTATAGTTGATAAGGTATAGAAACGTAACAATTAGTTGCTGCTAACAATGAAACGCTAACGATAAAGGAGCAGAGTAGAGAGAGAGAGAGAGAGAGAGAGAGAGAGTTTGAGGGAAGAGTTGACTTTACACACAAATGCATATTAGTGTAGAGTAAATAATATTACCGAGTGGACATTTAGTGTAAATGATTGGACATAAAATGCTACATAAGTTAGGTAGAAAAGCAAACATCATCGTATGAGTTGGTCATCAACAGTATCATTTAAAGTACTTAATCCAATTTAGAGAGATTAAAAAAAGTATATTTTGTTGGTAATAAATGCATACAAAGAAATTTTAACATAATTTTTACTCACATATGTACACTAAAAATAATTTTAGTTAAATGAATGGAAGTTTCTTTTTTTCGGCTTCTGGTTGCATATAAAGAATAAAAAAGTAAAGTTAAGGTTAAGTGATTACTACTCGTTTAGAAGTATTTTATATTAAATACAAGCAAATCTTTTAGAACCTGAAAGAATGAAAATCAGTTCCATGAAAATTTTAGATTTTGAGAAAAATAATTATGGATTGTATTCTAAATCATTTTAGGTTTTCGAGGTAACTTTGATATATTATGCAGACAAGCTGGTGCAATGTACTTCATTCAAAGTATTGTTCATCGTTAGCTATTACCTTTTTTCCAACAATCGGGTAATGTTTGACATCTACCTCGATAAAATGTCTCGCCTTTTCAGGCTGTTCCCAAAGGAAACCAATTTTTTGCATCGGCATCAGAATCAAGTCACTGTTCGAGCAAATAATAAGTCATTCATTGAAATCCGCTTCAATTGAAAGGAGTAATCTCTGCTGATAATAGCGGGAAGAGTGGCACATTACTAATTAGAACTGCAGCTATTTCTTGAGTAAGTTTCATCATATGGGGACGAAGTTTTTCATATCGAAAACTAGCGATATCATGACTTTTGGCATATCATGCCATATATTTGCTCTCAATAACAGATCGTACTTATGACCTATCCGCATAAGTAGATAACTAGGTAAAATGTAAATCCACAAAAAAATCTACTAGATAATGTGCAGATATATAGAAAAGAAGCTAAGAAGGTGTGGATTGCCCATACAAACGGAATAAACAATTGACGCTAATGCGTTCCTGCTTCCATGCTTCCTGCTCAGTAAAGCTTTCGCTCATAATTCTTTAGATATTCGCTGCGGTAGGTTATGCCACGCCTATAAAAATTGTATAAAACTATTCAAGAGACGTACAAGGGGAGATGAATTTATATTTTTGATACATTTATATAAAAAAGATTATATATTATATTTCAAGCAAAGCACTTGTATGAATATATATGGAAAGAGAATATTCACTATAAAAGATTATGAATATATACATATGTACAGGAAATAATTGGAAACACTCTTTAAAGACACGCCAAGTGCTATTCGTACAAATGCGTTTCAATTCGTCCAATTCTTCCAGTTCATCATCACGTACTTTGAGCTGGTGAAACTCTTGGGCATTGGAAATGGATCAAATGGATAGAAGGGAAGCCCTAGGTAAAACATGAAAATACGTCTGTTGTGTTTTTTGCCATAAAATTTTCCATATTCGCTTGAGAGGTGATCCTACATTATCTGCACAAATATGAAAAAAAATCTGCCGCGCCCTTACCACCATAGAGAGTAAGAAAATCAACATTTTTTGGTTCTTTTCTTTAAATATTTTCTTCCTTGTTACAATTATTATCGTAAGGATTA